TTCCGACTCAAATTTCAGTTGCATCAAGGGGAAAAAAACAACATTGTCCTGCTCATCCCTGCCACGTGTATACATGTGCTCTCTCTTACACGTTGCTTCAAACTTCGAGGTTTCTACCACAAACACCCACTCGCTTCTTCCACAAGAATTACTTACGCTTTTGCTTTAGGTTCAGTGAGTTTAGAAGGGCACCAGAGATCACTGACACGGCCAGGCAAGAAAACTCACCTGCGGGATTTATTGTGCTGTCAGTTACTGACTGCTACTAAGAAAGTGTAAGTCACCACCTTCACTCCATATAGAGTGCGTCGTGTAAGTACCCTCCATCACTCCAAACAGTGTAGGTCACCTCCATCACTTCACACAGTGTAAATCACCTCCACTTCACATTGTAAGTCACCTCCATCATTTCACACAGTGTAAGTCACCTCCATCATTTCACACAGTGTAAGACACCATCATCAGACAGTGTAAGTCATCTCCATCACTCCACACAGTGTAAGTCACCTCCATCATCACAGTGTAAGTCATCTCTTTCACTCCACACAGTGTAAAACACCATCATCACACAGTGTAAGTCACCTCCATCACTCCACAGTGTGTAAGTCACCATCATCACACAGTGTAAGTCACCTCCATCATCACAGTGTAAGTCACCTCCATCACTCCACACAGTGTAAGTCACCATCATCACACAGTGTAAGTCACCTCCATCACTCCACACAGTGTAAGTCACCTCCATCATCACTGTAAGTCACCTCTATCACTCCACACAGTGTAAGTCACCATCATCACACAGTGTAAGTCACCTCTATCACTCCACACAGTGTAAGTCACCTCCATCAGTGGGTTGATTCAGGCAAGACCTTGAGAATCTATCGACTCGCTCGCACCAATGATATGCCACAATTACCTCTTCACCCTCAGAAGTTATTTCCTACCATCCCATCACGCTGACCACTTTGACCCTACTGTATAATTACGAAGGCGTGTAAACAACACACACTATGTGGGTTATGATGTTTTATTGGGGAAGACGTTATGCTCCTCAGGGACTTTATCAGTTAACAGAGAGAACAACAAGGCAGATTGACCTGGTACTTCTCTGTAGTTCCAGCAGACTTCAACGGACTAAACTTTGTAAACCTATTCCCTGTTATCATTAGATTAGAAAGCCGACAGGTTGATAAATGAGAGACTTGTGCAACGTTTGGGTAACTTTATGCTGGAAGCTTTTCATCAGTCAGTGACTTCTTCGGTCTACCGGTCTCTGCCTTGGACTGAAGCCATTGGCTGGCGAAATGTTTCCAGAATAAGGATACCTAAATGCTTCGCAAGCGTCTTATTTATCAATTTTTTTATATTGTTGCCACTTTCACATCTTCTTTAACACTCAGAAGAGACCTTGTTCCTCTCCACGTTCACTACACTAGGAGGGAACATGCGGCACTTGCTGGTGGCAGTGGCACTGCTGGGGACAGCTGTAACGGCATCGATCCTCGTCAGCAGTGAAACCCAGAAACTGTTGCTGCAGATGAAGGAGGAGGAGGAGAGGGAAAACCAACAACAGCGGGAAAAAGAAGAAGGCAACATCTGGGCAGTGTTAGTGGCTGGCTCCAGCGGCTGGTACAACTACCGTCACCAGGTCAGTATCGACACTAAAATAGGCCGTTAGAGGAATTTTGGTGAAGACACTATCAAATGATAGTCGAATACAAAGATGAATTATATTCCCGGAGATATCAGCCTTAGTGGATAACGAAGTAGACGAAACGGAGGGGTAGTTAGAAATTATTAGTCTATCACTCTGGTAGCAAGGTGATCAGCCACTTGCACCAAGAGGTTCATAATCTTGATTAAGTCTAACTACTTCTCCATGTCCTTAACTTCGTCTTCCAGAAAAGCTGATCTGTCTATAGGAATGTGATCCATCTCCGAAACTGACGAAATCTGCAGCGCAGGCGAAGTGTTTCGTTAATGTAGATTCCCAGTGTTGCATATATATGTCTTAAACACACCTCGCCTGACTCTCATGATTTTAGTAATATCTTCCATTATGAATCTTAAGTCAACGATTCTTCCAAGATTCGCAATTTTATCGTCTATTTTGAAGTGTGTTGTGTGTGTGTGTGTGTGTATGTGTGTGTGTGTGTGTGTGTGTGTGTGTGTGTGTGTGTGTGTGTGTGTGTACTCACCTATTTGTGGTTGCAGGGGTCGAGTCACAGCTCCTGGCCCCGCCTCTTCGCTGATTGCTACTAGGTCCTCTCTCTCCCTGCCCCATGAGCTCTATCATACCTCGCCTTAAAACTATGTATGGTTCCCGCCTCCACTACGTCACTTTCTAGGCTATTCCACGGCCTGACTACTCTATGACTGAAGAAATACTTCCTAACATCCCTTTGATTCATCTGAGTCTTCAACTTCCAATTGTGACCTCTTGTGTCTGTGTCCCTTCTCTGGAACATCCCGTCTTTGTCCACCTTGTCTATTCCGCCCAGTATTTTATATGTCGTTATCATGTCTCCCCTGACCCTCCTGTCCTCCAGTGTCGTCAGGCCGATTTCCCTCAACCTTTCTTCGTAGGACAATCCCCGTAGCTCTGGGACTAGTCTTGTTGCAAACCTTGCACTTTCTCTAATTTCTTGACGTGCTTGACTAGGTGTGGATTCCAAAAACTGGTGCTGCTTTACTCCAGTATGGGCCTGACGTAAATGGTATACAGAGACTTAAACGAATCCTTACTGAGGTATCAGAACGCTATCCGTAGGTTTGCCAGGCGCCCGTATGCTGCAGCAGTTATCTGATTGATGTGCGCCTCAGGAGATATGCTCGGTGTTATGCTCACCCCCAGATCTTTTTCCTTGAGTGAGGTTTGCAGTCTTTGGCCATCTAAACTATATTGTGTCTGCGGTCTTCTTTGCCCTTCCCCAATCTTCATGACTTTGCATTTGGCAGGGTTAAATTCAAGGAGCCAGTTGCTGGACCAGGCTTGTAGCCTGTCCAGGTCTCTTTGTAGTCCTGCCTGATCCTCATCCGATTTGATTCTTCTCATTAACTTCGCATCATCTGCAAACAAGGACACTTCTGAGTCTATCCCTTCCGTTATGTCGTTCACACATACCAAGAACAGCATAGGTTCTAGGACGGACCCCTGTGGAACCCCGCTTGTCACAGGCGCCCACTCTGACACCTCGTCGCGTACCATGACTCGTTGTTGCCTCCCTGTCAGGTATTCTCTGATCCATTGCAGTGCCTTTCCTGTTATGTGTGCCTGATCCTCTAGCTTTTGCAGTAACCTCTTGTGAGGAACTGTGTCGAAGGCCTTCTTGCAGTCCAAAAATATGCAGTCGATCCACCCCTCTCTCTCTTGTCTTACTTCTGTCACCTTGTCATAAAACTCTAGTAGGTTTGTGACACAGGATTTTCCTTCCCTGAAACCGTACTGGTTGTCAATTATACACTTGTTTCTTTCCAGGTGCCCCACCACTCTCCTCCTGATGATCTTCTCCATGGCCTTGCATACTATACACGTTAGTGATACAGGTCTGTAGTTTAGTGCCTCATGTCTGTCTCCCTTTTTAAAAATTGGGACTACATTTGCCATTTTCCATACCTCAGGGAGTTGCCCAGTTTCAAATGATGTGTTGAAGATCTTTGTTAATGGCTCACACAATATCTCTGCTCCCTCTTTAAGGACCCATGGAGAGATGTTGTCTGGTCCCACCGCCTTTGAGGTGCCAAGTTCGCATAGCAGTGTGTGTGTGTGTGTGTGTGTGTGTGTGTGTGTGTGTGTGTGTGTGTGTGTACTCACCTAATTGTAGTTGCAGGGGTCGAGACTCAGCTCCTGTCCCCGCCTCTTCACTGAACGCTACTAGGTCCTCTCTCTCCCTGCTCCATGAGCTATATCATACCTCGTCTTAAAGCTATGTATAGTACCTGCCTCCACTACATCGCTCGCCAGACTGTTCCACTTCCTGACCACTTTATGACTGAAGAAATGCTTCCTAACATCCCTGTGACTCATCTGAGTCTTCAACTTCCAAGAGTGACTCCTTGTTTCTGTGTCCCCTCTCTGGAACATCTTGTCTCTGTCCACCTTGTCTATTCCACGCAGTATTTTGTATGTCGTTATCATGTCTCCCCTATCTCTCCTGTCCTCCAGTGTCGTCAGGCCGATTTCCCTCAACCTTTCTTCATAGGACATTCCTCTTAGCTGTGGAACTAACCTTGTCGCAAACCTTTGCACTTTCTCTAATGTCTTAAAGTGCTTGACCCTGTGCGGGTTCCAAACTGGTGCTGCATACTCCAGTATGGGCCTGACGTACACGGTGTACAGTGTCTTGAAAGATTCCTTACTTAGGTATCGGAATGCTAATCTCAGGTTTGCCAGGCGCCCATATGCTGCAGCAGTTATCTGGTTGATGTGTGCTTCCGGAGACGTGTTCTGTGTTATAATCACGCCAAGATCTTTCTCCTTGAGCGAGGTTTGCAGTCCTTGGCCACCTAGCCTATACACTGTTTGCGGTCTTCTTTGCCCTTCTCCAATCTTCATTACTTTGCATTTGGCAGGGTTGAATTCGAGAAGCCAGTTGCTGGACCACGTAACCAGCCTGTCTAGGTCTCTTTGAAGGTCTGCCTGATCCTCATCTGATTTAATTTTCCTCATTAACTTCACATCATCTGCGAACAGGGACACCTCTGAGTCTATCCCTTCCATCATGTCATTCACGTATACCAAAAACAGCACTGGTCCTAGGACCGACCCCTGTGGGACCCCGCTCGTCACAGGTGTCCACTGTGATACCTCATCATGCACCATGACTCGTTGTTGCCTCCCTGTCAGGTATTCTCTGATCCACTGAAGTGCTCTTTCCGTTATACACGCCTGATCCTCTAGTTTCTGCACTAATCTCTTGTGAGGAACTGTGTCGAAGGCCTTCTTGCAGTCAAAGAAGATGCAATCAACCCACCCCTTTCTCTCGTTTCTTACTTCTGTTACTTTTTCATAAAACTCCAGAAGGTTTGTGACACAGGATTTGTCTTCCATGAAACCGTGCTGGTTGTCATTTATACTTTTGTTCCGTTCCAGGTGCTCTACCACTCTCCTCCTGATAATCTTTTCCATGACTTTGCATACTATACACGTCAGGGACACTGGTCTGTAGTTAAGTACTTCTTTTCTGTCTCCTTTTTTAAAAATGGGAACTACATTTACCGTCTTCCATACCTCAGGTTGTCCAGTTTCAAGGGATGTGTTGAAGATTGTGGTTAATTGGACACACAGCATTTCTGCTCCCTCTCTAAGGACCCACGGGGAGATGTCCGGTCCCATTGCCTTTGAGGTATCAAGGTCACTTAGCAGCTTCTTCACCTCCTCCTCAGCTGTGTGTATGTCATCCAGCATTTGTTGGTGTATTCCCTGTTGGTGTCCCTCTCTGTCCTGTCTTCCCAGAGTCCTTTCTGTCTCCACAGTGAATGCTTCCTTAAATCTCTTGTTGAGCTCCTCACTCCTCTTGATCGTGTGTGGTGTGTGTGTGTGTGTGTGTGTGTGGTGTGTGTGTGTGTGTGTGTGTGTGTGTGTGTGTGTGTGTGTGTGTGTGTGTGTGTGTTTGTGTGTGTGTTTGAGTATATGTGAGTGTGTACTCACCAAGATCACGTCTCCTGCAGGCGGACATGTGTCATGCCTACCAGATCCTGCACCAGCACGGTGTTCCTGACGACCACATCATCGTTATGATGTACGACGACATCGCTAACAACTTTCAGTGAGTGCCATTCGAGATGGGTCTTAGTGCCGGTAGATAATGTATTACCTGGAGAGAGTTTCGGCCCGGTCTGTGACAGTGTGGATCAGAGCCTGATCAACCTATTGTAGTTACTGTGTTTAATATCAGTTGCTGAACAATTATTGATAAGTCAATACTAGGCCATTTGTAATTGTCTTATTTTAGCCAAAATGATTAAAATATTATTAACTTATTTATTAATTTATTCGCTGTTGACAGTGTATTGTAAAAGGTCACGCGATGAGTGACTTGCACCCGTCATGTCTCCAGATAAGTTAGAAAGTCCAGTGCTCATCCAATGTCTGATACTTGCTTCATAGCAGAGATGTGTTTGTCTTTATTTTGTAGCATAACAAGGCTGAAAATCATCTCTGTCAAGGAGAACACGAATCCGATATATATGATCTACATCTTCGAAAATATTTTTCTTTCCTATTTCGCAGGAACCCAACCCCGGGTGTGATCATCAACCGTCCAGATGGACCCAATGTGTACGATGGCGTCCCCAAGGACTACACTGGCAGGGACGTCACTCCAGGAAACTTCCTGAAGGTACTTAGAGGTGATGCTGAGGGCTTGAGGGGTGTGGGCTCTGGCAGGGTTCTGAAGAGTGGTCCCAACGACCGTGTCTTCATCAACATGGTGGACCACGGTGCCCCTGGTATCTTCGCCTTCCCTAGCGACTACCTTCAAGCTAGAGACCTGGTCGACACTCTCTTATCTATGCATCGGGCCCACACGTACAGCCAGGTGAGTCAGTAATCCACTTCTTTATGTGTGAGCAGAGTCCTTTCCCAGGGTGTGTGCCTACATGAAGATATGAACGTTTTTTTAGGTTCGAACCTATGAGCTCCTACATGGAAGATGTAACTGTATGCACCCGGCTGTGTTGCCGGCCACATGACGATATGAAAGCCCTAATTTATTATTTATGATTCACAAACTGGCCATTGACAAATTAATCCATGTTCATTTTTTTGTCAATCCCTTAACTTTTCGTAGACATTTTGGATATTATGATCTACTGAATCTCTCTTAGAATTTGAATATTTTACATATATGAAGCTCGTTTTTTTACATTTTAAAACCTGAATCTGTGAGAACAGGATTATCATACAGATACACATATAACCCATATATAGAAGAGAGGTGCTTACGACGACGTTTCGGTCCGACTTGGACAATTTACAAAGTCACACTAACAGAGACGAAGCCAGGACTAAGATTCATACAAGGAAAGTTGTGTACTAGGGAGGACTCATCCAGACGGCAACTATTAAACTTCAACAGTCGCCGTCTGGTTGAATCCTCCCTAATACACAACTTTCCTTGTATGAATCTTAGTCGTGGCTTCGTCTCTGTAGATGCCTTCCTTTCCCACTACATTGTAAAATGCTCCAAACTTCAGAACACTCGTGACTTAACCTGATTCCTCCTTTTTCTTCTTCTCCCTCTTCCCCTTTCCTCTTTCCTTTTTCTCCTTTGGGTTGTCTTTCTTCTGCCCTGTGTATTTGTTCCTTTTTTATTTACTTATTTGTTCCCCCCCCCTCGGTGTTCTTGCTCTTACCCTCTGTGGGCACCTAGCTCCCTTGTGGGCACCTAGCTCCCTTGTGTGCACCTAGCTCTCTTATGGGCACCTAGCTCCCTTGCAGTGCTCCTCTTTCTTAGTATTATTTGACTGGCTCCTCCTCTTACTACCTCCCCACTACTACTACCTTCCACCTCCACTACTACCACCACCATCACCCCTACTACTACTACTACTACTACTACTACTACTACTACTACTACTACTACTACTACTACTACTACTACTACTACTACTACTACTACTACTACTACGACTACTACCTCTTGCCTATTTATACCCTTCCTGCTCTCCTTTTCGTTAGTGTGACTTTGTAAATGATCCAAGTCGACCCGAAACGTCGTCGTAAGCTCTTCTCTTGTATGTGCGGGTTATTTGTGTATCGTTCCAGTCACGGTATTGTGCCTTGTTTTTGTTATTTATCATACAGACTTGCTTAACAAGATTCCTGAAAACCACCGTTTTCAGGAATCAGGTTTCATTATGACTGGTAGCTGTCATACATTGTGTCTAAAACAAATTATATTTGAGAATTTTGGAAATTTTGTATATTAGACAGCTTAAACAGTTTTAATAACTGTCATTTTTATTTTTATTTGGTTGTACCTGTGTTGTGAGTCGTAATCATTCTGACTCGATGCGTCGTAATCATTCTGATTCGATGCATGAGCATGCTATCTTGTCAATTTTCGTTTAACTTCATAAATATAAAATTTGGTTACTATGTTTATTTTCCAAATTATTTCTTAGAAGTACTTTCAAAATTTTGAATACATGCAATGATTTTTTTGATCCTCAATTTGAATGAATTTTGTTATGCTTTGTATATATGTCCACAGATGGTGATATACGTGGAGTCATGTGAGTCTGGCTCCCTCTTCCAGAAGCTCCTTCCTGACGACATAGAAGGTAAGACTTTCTTTTTCATCACTCTCATACGATTACTTAGCTCATTTCATAGGCTTAATAAATGTGTACGGATTTGTTCTTGAACACCATACACACACACACACTGATGACACTGGAGGACAGAAGGGTTAGGAGAGACATGATAACGACATACAAAAAACTGCTTGGAATAGACAAGGTGGACAGAGACAGGATGTTCCAGAGAGGGGACACAGAAACAAGGGGTCACAATTGGAAGTTGAAGACTCAATTGAGTCAAGTAGATGTTAGGAAGTATTTCTTCAGTCATAGAGTTGTCAGGAAGTGGAATAGTCTAGTAAGTGAGGTAGTGGAGCCAGGAAGCATACATAGCTTTAAGACGAGGTATGATAATGCTCATGGAGCAGGGCGAGAGAGGACCTAGTAGCGTTCAGTGAAGAGGCGGGGCCAGGAGCTGAGTCTCGACCCCTGCAACCACAATTAGGTGAGTACACACACACACACACAACACACACACACACACACACACACACACACACACACACACACACACACAGGCCTAGTGTCTAATCGACATGTGCCTAGGACAAAATGGTAACTCACACACACACACACACACACACACACACACACACACACATTTAGTTGAAAACCTATAGTTTCTAAATATAGGTTCCCAACTAAATATATTATCAACGTTTTTATAATAAATCTTTTTTTCAATGTCTCCTATTTTTAAGAAACTTTCTGTGCAAGTATTTTCTATCATCTACATAAGATAAAAAAAAAAATCCTCTTAATTTCATCCTCCACAAACCAATTACTTCGATTTTCTCATTTAGTGTGAGCTGACATGCATTCTGTGGTTCCCTAACAGTGTACGCCCTGAGTGCGTCAGGACCTAATGAACCCTCTTATGCTTGCTACGAAGACAGCACACGCCATACCTTCCTGGGTGACGTTTTCAGCGTCAAATGGATGGAGGACACCGACGTTGTAAGTGGAATGGATTTTCTTATTGGAGTAGCACTAAGCCCGCAGGGGTCATATAGCACCTGGGGAATGATAGGTAATCAGGTTTGATCCAAGGGATTATTTAGAAGAAATGAGCTTACATACAGGTGACTACGGCATCGTGTTTCAGTGTGTGACACTGTCATTGGTCTTCATTGTTTTCTATCGTAGTTTGCTACTTAGTAAACATATTCACTAATTTCTCTGACGCCATAAACCTGAACTTCACTTTTAGGAAAACCTCAACAAGGAGACGCTGATGGCTCAGTTCAACCTAGTACACGACGAAGTGGAGACCTCCACAGTGATGCACTGGGGGGATCTACAGCTGGCCTCACAGACACTCTCAAACTTCCTGGGATATAAGGACCCCCACGGATCCATCGGTTACAACCTTAGCGCTATCAACGAAATCGACTTGAGCTACTCAACCTCTTTGCAATTTTCCGATCCTTGGTTGGTAAGTTGGTTAAATGTGTTTAGACGGTGGGGAGGCTTCAGACTTGTTTGTATGCTAGATCGTCACATGGCTGTTGAAGTATCTTATTGCATTCCTTGGTGGAATGGTGAAGAAATAACAAAATTTCCATTCTTTCATTTATACACAAACAGGATACAGGAGAATGAAAGTCATGACAATGTTTCGGTCCGACTTGGACCATTAACTAGTGTGACTAGTCAATGGTCCAAATCGGACCAAAACGTCGTCATAAGTTTCATTCTCCTATGTGTGGGTTATCTGTGAATTATTCCAGTCACGGTGTTGTGCCGTTTTTAATTTTTTTGTCACTCATCATTCTTCCATTTTTTCCTGTTGACATGTATGGTTAGAAATCCTCTGTGGTGAGCTACGACGTCCCTGTGGCTGTCCTCAAGTCTCGCATACGTGCGGCCGTCGACCCTCTGGAGGAGCAGGACTGGAAGGTCACTCTCGAGTCTCTTCTTCTGGTAAGAACAGTAGTGAAGGGAAATTAACTTTCGCTGGAGAAACTTAGCGAAATGAAAGTAGAAACCTTTAATTCGTTGTCAGGATTTCCCAATACCAGGGGTTTCTGATACCACTGTGATGGTTATCTCTGGTATAGTTTTATTTTATTTTTTTTGCGTGAGCAGAGGTATGGTTTTGTTGGTAAATTTCTTTCTGAGAGAGAGAGAGAGAGGAGAGAGAGAGAGAGAGAGAGGAGAGAGAGAGAGAGAGATCCTCCATGGCCAGCTGCAAGAACTGTGTCAAAACTGTCATTGGTAACAATAAGGCAGGAAGAGGTGCACTTCCTTCTTAAATCACTTGACCAAGAAATGGCTGTGAGCCCAGACAAGTTGAGCCCAAGATTGCTGAGAAGATGTGCAGACCAGCTAGCAGCGCCTCTAACTCGCATCTTTCAGCACTGCCAAGTACAGTGTAATGGCCTTCTCTGCAGAAAGAGGCAAATGTAGTCCCTGTTCACAAGAAGAGCAGAGCAGATATCAGCAACTACAGACCAGTGTCACTCCTGTCAATCACTGACAAGCTCCTTGAGACAAATGCCAGTTTTTTGACTACCGTCAATATGGCTTCAGGAAAGGTTACTCTGCTGCTGATCTGTTGCTAAACCTCTCTACTAAGTGGCACCAGTCACTGGATGAATCCAAAGTCAGCTGTGTGGTAGCACTGGACATTGCTGGTGCTTTCGACCGGGTGTGGCACCAGGGCCTCTTAGCAAAACTGCAAGCTCTGGGAATTGCAGTCTCTACGCTATGTCTTCTCAGTGATTACCTTCATGGTAGATCTCTAAGAGTAGTTCTCAATGGAACAGAATCAGCAAGACATCCTATTGGGGCAAGTGTTCCACAAGGAAGCGTTCTGGGACCTTTGTTATGGAATGTTTACTTCGATGACCTTCTTCATCTCATCCCAGAATCCCATGCAAACGCAGACGACTGTACACTGACATTCGCTTATCCAAGAGAAGAAATGCCAGCTGCTCTAAGATACATCAATCACCAGCTCAGAGCTATATCAGCTTGGGGAAATAGATGACAAGTAACATTTGCACCTGAGAAAACACAAATGATGATGATCTCTAGGCACCATGATGGTAATGCCGGTGCAGTAGTAAGGATGAATGGGAGAGTGGTGGCACCTGGGGAAGAAGTTGATATCCTTGGGGTGAAATGTGACTCCAAACTGACCATGAAAAACCACGTTGTAAATCTTGCAAGCAAGGCAGCCAGGAAGCTTACAGCACTTCGCCGTATCTCGCATCTGCTTGACAGCAGGGGTTGCAAGATTTTGTACTAGGCACAAGTACGCTCACACCTTGAGTATGCTCCACTTTCTTGGTTCACCTGCCCCTCCTCCTCTCATCTGCGACTGCTTGACAGAGTAGAGAACAGAGCAAGACGTCTCATCTCTCGCCTGGACCAATCCTGGATAGATCTGTCATTTCAACAGAGCCTTCAACACAGGAGGGATGTGGGTGGCCTTACTGTTATGTACAAGGCCAATATTGTAAAAGTACCACACTTGGATCCACTTCGAGGACGGCGTGAGGCAAGTTTCTATGCCACAAGACGGGCAGAAAGCAGCAACTTCACTCTGGCTGTACCCTTCTCCAGAACATCACTCCATCTGAGATCATTTATCCCCAGGATGACTCGAGTCTGGAACACATTCCTACAGTATTATGATGTCAACGAGATGAAATCAGTTCATCAGATGAAAATGCTGGCTCACAGATGGCTCCAACTTCATCCTGTTCCCTACTTGTATGTTTCATAACACCAAAAATGCTTTCAAATGAGCTGATGTAGGTAACAGCTCTTAGCTTTTCAATAAAGTTAGGAATCCTTAACCTGTAAATAGCTTGTCAATAAAGCTAGAAATCCTTAACCTAACCTTGTCAAACCCTGTGTGAAAGAGAGAGAGAGAGAGAGAGAGAGAGAGAGAGAGAGAGAGAGAGAGAGAGAGAGAGAGAGAGAGAGATAATTCTTCGTTTCTCCAGAACCGAGTTCATGTGAGGTCTGTGATGCAGCGCCTGGTGAGGGAAGTGACTGGCAATGACCAGGTAATGACTACAATGATCACAGCTAAGGATCACAATCACGATATCTCCCGCTGGGACTGCTACCAAGACTCCGTCAGGACCTTCCACACCCAGTGCTTTGATTTGGCCCAGGTCAGTCACCCCCTCACCCGCCCCTTAAATCCGCCCCTTACATCTGCAACTTACACCCACTACTTTTGTCTTCATTTATATTCTTGTGACAAGAAGATTAGCGATATTCTTTGTCTATTTCCATTCATTGCTTTCATTATATAGGTAAAACAGGTTCCACATTTTTCTTCTGTCAGTTCTGAGAAAGCTTCTTGGCTTACATTCGAAAGGACGATCGACACCATGCCTAACCCTTCTAGGGTAGGGTAGGTGCCTGAGCCCGAGCCTTTAGCTCACAAGACTGTCATTCCCATTTGCCCCCTTGGGGCGGGGATGGCAGACCAGAGAGGCCTAGCTTGTGGCTAGGCCTGGGGACAGTTAGTCCCAAAGATGAGGAGGTACTTGTGCCTCCTCCCATGGGAGACTTAGGTCTCAGACACTTCCTAAAGAGGGAGCCAAGGCCGGGCCACCACTTGGAAAAGGCCCGGGCCGGGAGAATACCGGCGAATCTTTAATAATAATTAATAATAATTCGAAAGGACATCGACACCATGCCCAGCCCTTCTAGGGTAGGGTAGGTGCCTGAGCCAGAGCTTGCAGCTCACAAGACTGTCATTCCCATTAGCCCTCTAGGGGCGGGGTTGGCAGACCAGAGAGGCCTAGCTTCTCCTACGAGCCCCGTGAGGGCAGGGAATGTGGCTAGGCCTGGGGACAGTTGGTCCCAACGATGAGGGGTTACTTGTACCTCCTCTCATGGGAGACTTAAGTCTCAGACACTCTCTCGACAGGGAGCCAAGGCCGGGCCACCCCTTGGAAAAGGCCCGGGCCGGGAGAATACCGGCGAATCTACAAGAAGAAGATTCGAAAAGAAATGATTTCTATCTCAGGGAGAGAGTTAAACGTATGGGCAAGCCACCATATATCTGCTACACCTGTTCACCTAGCAATAAATACAGACCTGACAGGGATTAAACTGTTTGGGCTCCTTCCTGGTGAAGACAAGCTAAGAACTACATTGGAAATTAACCACACCGCTAAGTTTTCTTTGGATTATCCTGGATTATTATCCATCTTGGGTTAATAATTCGAAATAAGATTTCTACTACCATTAGCGTCTGCTAATGAAAATCAGCTTATTTTAATAACGAGGCTTCAACAAAATCAGAGTGAAAAAAAAACATTGTATTATACACAGCTGAGCTCCTGACGAAGGTAAACTGTTTTAGGGACTAGAATAAAGAACGAGAAATTTTACTTGACACTAGTAATGACAACACCTTCACCAGTCCTTCTACCGACGGTCCCACACGGGTTTAGTGCTTCATATTTAGTAAGTAAACAATATACAAATAACCTGCACAAAGGAGACAGAAGATTATGAAGATGTTTCGGCGCGACTTGGACCAGGTCGGACCGAAACGTCATCATAAGATTCTCTCTCTCCTAAGTGCGGGTTATTTGTGTATTGTTCCAGTCACAGGTATTGATGCCATTTTGTTTCTGAGCATTATCGTTCCATGCGAACATAATGCCACTAATTTTCAGGTATTACTCTCTCTCTGCCAATTAATCTAATTGCAGGAAATTTTGCAGATTTCGGGGAAATGCATCAAGCTATGGCTATATTATTTTTAAAATGTCCAATAATGTTCGAGGTAAATCCCGGAACTCTCCTTATTACGATTTCATGAGACATTGGTCATGGTATTATTCTGTGGCCTTGTACTTTCATTTTTTTTAAACACATATGTGGTTTTATGACGTGTTATTGAGATGTATCTTTCACCAGTGACTTTATTAATAAAATTTCTGGTGGACGAAACGTTTTAATAAAACAGCATAAACCGCAAGCTGTGTTTATTAACACGGCTGTCTCTGAACTCAGTTTAAGTCGTAATGAACGACTGTCGATGGATAAACGGAAAACTTCTAAGGGGGTCCATAGTTCGAGTCTCCCCTTTACATTTCTGTTTATTCATATATGTCTGCTTAAATACCATTGATAATGTTTGTTTTTCCTCCCTTCTCAACACAGATTTACACTGCCTTTCCACTCTTCAAGTTGCTACACCATCCTGCCACTTACGAAGTGTAAATTTTTGTCTAAATCCTTCTAAATTCTTATTTTTCACCTCTTTGAGTACACACATGTTTAATCTCATTCACTTCTTTCATAATGCTGCTCAGATTTTCGGAATTTATCATCAAGATTTTTAATAAATTTGTATCTGTAATTTTTTTGTGATTTCATGAGTTCTCGTTTTCTGTGATGATAAACAACTCGAGATGATACCTATATAAACATCACTGACATTTGATGATTTTCTGATATTTTTTACGTCCTAAACAGTGTTACTCTTAATATTTCTTTAGTTTTGACTGCATAACTCTGACATTGAAGCTAATCATGTTTTCTCAATATTACTTTATTAAGTATCCTTCTAGTATCTTTTATTTACTTATAGATACTTCATGACCCACCTTGTACACACATGCTGCAGAATCGCTATCTTATTTTTTTTTAATTGTTCAACATTTGCATACACATACATATAGGAGAGAGAAGCTTACGACGTTTCGGTCCGACTTGGATCATTTACAAGTCACACGAATACAAGAGGGTGAGAGATACTGGTTCCCTCACCTTCGTGTGTTAGTGTGACTTGCAAATGGTCAAAGTCGAACAGGAACGTTGCCATAAGATCTTCATGTGGGTTGTTGCTGTATTGTTCCAGTGACGATATTGTTCCTTTTTTTTCATCACTCATCTCAATAAATTATCCCTTGAAATTAATAATAATCCAGTATCACTAGCAAGAATACTATTTTTTTTTACCTAACTTAAAATTATTTTCGTCTGTTGATTCTTGAATTCTTATATCATGGAGAGTTGAGGACCCTAGGGACACTAGAGACCATGGAGACTCTAGGGACCCTAGGGACGCTAGAGACCCTAGTGACTCTAGGGACCGGGTCTTTACCAACATTCATAGCCAGTAAATATATATAATAATGCTTATAGAAGATTTTATGAAAAGTTAAGATACATGAAGTTTACTTGCGGACAGATATATACATCCTGCATTATACTTGCAGAATACATATGCTCTAAGAGTCCTGAGCATCATCGTTAACTTGTGTGAGCACGGCTACACTCACCAGCAGTTCCTGGAGGCTGCCAGATCTGTGTGTTCTCACGGCCCCTACACAGGCATCATCTGAGTTTCCCTGCTGGGGACCAACACCGTCGCCAGGGGACTCAGCACCCCAGTGGAGACCAACGCCCTTGAGGGAAGGAAACTTTCCTACAGGAGTCCCAAGACCCCCCTCTGAGGTGGACCCAACATTCCTGTGGGAGGAGGAAGAAGCTCCACACCCTGGCTGGGAGACTTTTACCTTCATGTTGTTGTGAATGTGGTAGTTAATCAGCTTTACATCGTCCTGGTCATATTGTAAATTGATATACTTGACAAAGTAACTTGTATTTAGCCACTTTATTACAGTCATAGAGAGTTGAAAAAATCCACAGAATTAAAAAAAACTTAAACACAAATTCCACTAATGTATATATATATAATATATATATATATATATATATATATATATAATATATATATATATAATATATATATATATATATATATATATATAAATATATATATATATATATATATGTCGTGCCGAATATGTAAAACTGGTCAATTAGCAAGAACTCATTTAAAATTAAGTCCTTTCTAAAATTTTCTCTTAAAACGTTTAAAGATATATTTTTTCATTATTGTTGATGTAAAAATTTATAATTTTTTCACCAAAAGGAACTTAGAAAAACTTACCTAACCTTATTATAACAAGCGCAATTTATTTTAGCCTAACCTAACTAAATATATTTTAGATTTGTTTACAATAATTTAATACTAAATAAACACAGTGAAATATATTTTTTCCCTTAGGTTCAGAATGATTTTGGCGAAATTATTGCATACACAAATTTTTACTTGTCCTATATGGTAAGATGAGCGTTGCTATTTAAGCCAAGATCGAAAGTTCTGCCTGTTCGGCACGACATATATATATATATATATATATATATATATATATATATATATATATATATATATATATATATATATATATATATATACATATATATATATATATATATATATATATATATATATATATAATATATAATACATATATATATATATATATATATATAATATATATATATATATATATATATATATATATATATATATATATATATATATATAATATATATATATATATATATATATATATATATATAATATATATAATATATATATAAAAATATATATATTTTATATATATAATATAATATATATATATATATATATATATATATATATATATATATATATTATAATATATATACTATATATATATATATATATTATATATATATATATATATATATATATATATAATATATATATATATATATATATATATATATATATATATATATATATATATATATATATATATATATATAATATATATATATATATTGCAATAAGATCACAGTAAACAGGTGATTTCAGAATATGCAAAACAACCACTGTGAAAGAATAGAGAAATTCCAAGTGCTTTCGTGACTACTCATATTATCATACATATATTGTTTTATATATTCTGCCATGCATTTCTTAGTAATTTATTCTGAAACCAGCCAGGCATAAATGCATGTATAACACTGTAATGGTGTCAGTTGTTATATTATCCCAACCCACACAAAACTTGACTAATTATTCCTGTTATGAGAACTTAATATCTTGCCTTTCTACGGATCAAATCTCATTGGCTCTTGTTCCCTAGGCGCTGCGTTACCTTTACGGGTTTAGCACATGTCAATACATTATTAATTTATTAATAAAATACAAATGTTTATTTAAAATAATTATGTTAATGTGTTTTCGGGTCGGAGTTGAATTTGCCTGTGAGTTCTCCTTACCAGCTTTCTTTAAAACAAAATTGTATATATTAACAGTGTGCTGCTACCCTTTTCTGTATGACAGTTACACGGTGGGAACAATAGCTCGCCGTGTTTCCCTGACATAGTCCATCACTCAGGATGATGGAACAATAGCTCGCCGTGTTTCCCTGACATAGTCCATCACTCAGGATGATGGAACAATAGCTCGTTGTGTTTCTCTGTCATAGTCCATCACTCAGGATGATGGAACAATAGCTCATTGTGTTTCTCTGTCATAGTCCATCACTCAGGATGATGGAACAATAGCTCGTTGTGTTTCTCTGTCATAGCCCATCACTCAGGATGATGGAACAATAGCTCATTGTGTTTCTCTGTCCTAGTCCATCACTCAGGATGATGGGACAATAGCTCATTGTGTTTCTCTGTCATAGTCCATCACTCAGGATGATGGAACAATAGCTCGTTGTGTTTCTCTGTCATAGTCCATCACTCAGGATGATGGAACAATAGCTCATTGTGTTTCTCTGTCATAGTCCATCACTCAGGATGATGGAACAATAGCTCATTGTGTTTCTCTGTCATAGTCCATCATTCAGGATGATGGAACAATAGCTCGTTGGGTTTCTCTGTCATAGTTCATCACTCAGGATGATGGAACAATAGCTCGTTGTGTTTCTCTGTCATAGTCCATCACTAAGGATGATGGAACAATAGCTCGTTGTGTTTCTCTGTCATAGTCCATCACTCAGGATGATGGAACAATAGCTCATTGTGTTTCTCTGTCATAGTCCATCACTCAGGATGATGGAACAATAGCTCGTTGTGTTTCTCTGTCATAATCCATCACTCAGGATGATGGAACAATAGCTCATTGTGTTTCTCTATCATAGTCCATCACTCAGGATGATGGAACAATAGCTCGTTGTGTTTCTCTGTCATAGTCCATCACTCAGGATGATGGAACAATAGCTCATTGTGTTTCTCTGTCATAGTCCATCACTCAGGATGATGGAACAATAGCTCGTTGTGTTTCTCTGTCATAGTCCATCACTCAGGATGATGGAACAATAGCTCATTGTGTTTCTCTATCATAGTCCATCACTCAGGATGATGGAACAATAGCTCATTGTGTTTCTCTGTCATAGTCCATCACTCAGGATGATGGAACAATAGCTCGTTGTGTTTCTCTGTCATAGTCCATCACTCAGGATGATGGAACAATAGCTCGTTGTGTTTCTCTGTCATAGTCCATCACTCAGGATGATGGAACAATAGCTCGTTGTGTTTCTCTGTCATAGTCCATCACTCAGGATGATGGAACAATAGCTCGTTGTGTTTCTCTCTCATAGTCCATCACTCAGGATGATGGAACAATAGCTCGTTGTGTTTCTCTGTCATAGTCCATCACTCAGGATGATGGAACAATAGCTCGTTGTGTTTCTCTGTCATAGTCCATCACTCAGGATGATGGAACAATAGCTCTTTGTGTTTCCCTGTCATAGTTCATCACGCAGGATGATGCTCCTACGATGAGTCAAAATCCGTCAACCTGAGGTGGGAGACTTGAGTAGCATCAGCCTCAGATGGAAGACTTCAGGAGGACAAAGAGGACATAATGACGTATTACAGTAAGGGTTCATCAGCTACGGAAGCTTCAAAGTTTTCCATCCAGCAGAGCTGGAATTACTATCACACTGGACTTGCCAACTCTCTCACTGAGGCAAGCATTTTTTTTTCAATCAACTGCTAATTTTTACCGAGTTAAACTGACCATTGACCAGGAAAGCACGATGGTTTAAGAAAATCATATGTTTTTTCTAGACTATTATTTTTTTTTAATTTTTCCAGCATCTTATCATTTGTAACTCCCTAGAATGAAATCCTGGCAGCCCTATTGCTCTTGCCACTCTTCAGAAGAGGGATGAGGAGACAAGGCGTTCCTGGTTAGTTGGTTAATGGTGTTTAAAGCCTATCGACTACGCGAGTGGCCTTTAGGTTGCACGAGAACGTTTTCACCATTAGACAAAAGTACTTCAATCCCTAAAATAAGGATTAAAGAAAACTCTCAGCGTATATACGTTGAGGCCTGGTCATGGATCGGGCAGCGGGGGCGTTGACCCCCGAAACATCTTCCAGGCATACTCCAGGTAAACATTCTGCGTCTCCCTGAAGGATGATGATTGACTTCATCTTCGGCAAACAACAGCGTCGAACCAACTGAAAAGAACGGGAAAAGACGAGGAAAATGCTCCCGAATGACTCCCTAAACCTGCCTTTCCTATAATACTGGACTGAACGCATTTTTTGAAGTAGTGTTTTACTATTTTTTTTCTTCGAGCAAGTCCCTGATGTGATCAGCCCTTGTTACGTGAGCCGCTGCTTCACCGACTCGAGAAATCCTTCAGCCAAATTAGGTTTCTCGAAGCAACCCGACAGTCTGTTAGGTAAAAGAACACAGGTTCAACTAATGAGACATTTTATTGTGGCAACGTTTCGCTCTTCAGGAGCTTCGTCAAGCAGCTAATGACTTGGCACAATAAAACGTCACATTACCTATGTCAGTAATTCTGCCAACATTATTATTACCAGACAGCTTGTGTGTGGCTGTTTCTGACAGCAGTTTTAGTAACGAGATGACGGATGAGATGACGATATAGTCTGGGACTGCGTCATCCAGGGGTTATGTTGTTGGTGTCACTGACCACTCTGGGTGGGAAGTGTCATAGTGTGTGGCTCGTGGTGGCTCCTGTGGGAACGATTTTTGTCTTCACTGGTAAATTATCGTGATCGACCCAGCAGTGTTGCTGGCATATTCACAAACATCTCGCTCTCAGTGTTATTTTTATTTGGCTTGCCTTAGTGTATTTTATTTTAACGTTGATGGAGGTCGTTCACTCTCGAGAAATTGCTACTCTAATATATATGAGGAGATTACCCAGTTGTTCCCTCTTATAGGCACTGCTGAACATAAACCTTCGATTTACTGGATTATGTGGACTCAAAAAAAAGAAAAATAACGTGAATAAAAAGAATTTAGGCAACTGAAAATACCTGATCTTTCTAGGATCAAAGATAGTTAAATATCATTTTGTTAGGGCTCACATAATTTATAATAATAATAATAATAATAATAATAATAATAATAATAATAATAATAATAATAATAATAATAATAATAATAATAATAATAATACGAAATTTTGCTAACACTTTACAAAGAAAATTACTATACATATTTGCAAATATGCACATATATGCATACGTACTATAGTACATAAAAAGATAAGGGAAGTGACCAACTCGGAATTACTAGATCTCCGCAGTGTGTTTGTAGTTACTGGTTGTCAAAGGCACTTGTCGATAATCACTTGGCCTGTTTTGTGTGTGTGGTGTGGGTGTAATTACTAGTGTCAAAAGCACTTTTTAATAGACACTTGGCCTCTGTGTGTATTCACCTAGTTGTGGTTGCAGGGGTCGAGTCATATCTCCTGGCCCCACCTCTTTACTGGTCGTTACTAGGTCTTCTCTCTCTCTGCTTTATAATCTTTATCATACCTCTTCTTAAAGCTAAGTATGGA